GCCACACACCAGCTCTGTCTCTCTTCCAGGCCTGTGCACACACTGTCTCTCTGCCTGAGATGTTCACCTTCCCATCTCCTCACCTGGCTCACTTCCCCTCATTTTCCAGGTCTGACCTTGTGTATCACGTCTCAACCTGTGGGTTAGGTGCTTCCTGTACCTCCCCTGTCAGGGCGTCGGTCACACCATATCATCATTGCTGTGGACTTGTCGTCTTCCCCGCAGAATGTGAGCTCTGGGGGAGGAGGTCCTGGGCTGTCTGCTTTGCCATTGTGATCTCAAGGACTCGGTGCCCTGACTGCCACACCACAAGCATTCAATTAATATCTGACTAAGGGATTTTCACAAAGGAGGTAGAATCTGAGGGGTGGGTAGGACTGGATGAGGTGGGGAGAAGGAGAGATGATGTTTCTCATGTCAGCCAAAACCTGGAGGTCCATCTGGGAGACCTGGTTGAGCAGGTCACGGTTGGGGAGAGAGAGTACGGTTGTAGAAGGAATAAAACGTCAAGCTCTGTGTTTGGGTGTCACTCTATAGGCAGAAGCAAGCACTGAACATCCTTGAGTAGAGGGAGACAAGAAAATAAATTCTGAGATCTAACAAGACCCTCCTGGAGATGGGAGGCAGGGAGAATGGCACAGGAGAACCCAGGAGGAAGCCCAGTCACCAGCAGCCTCAAGGCACAACAGAGACCCGGAGTTTTAACAGTGGGAATGGAAGAACGGGATGATGTGAGAAGCTTCGTGGAGGAAGAGTCAACAGAGTTGGTGTCCAGTTGGACGGTGGCGGGTGTAAGGGAGATGGAGTGAAGACCGGGTCCTCAAACCGTGAGAAAGTGATGATCAGGAGGGAAAGAAGTTTGCAGAAGAAAAAATGTGTTGGAGGAGGCAGGTGGAGATGAGAACCTGGAATGTGGGAGCGCGTCAGGCTGAAGAACATGGAATCCCCACATAGGAAAGTGGTTGAGATCCTGAGGGAGTGAATGTGGAGACAGAAGAGAGGCCAGGCTCTGAGCCTTGGGGACTGCAAGAGAAGAGTGACAGGGACTGCACAGGGCAGAAGTAGGAGGGGACCAGAAAAGTGGTCAGGGAATAGAAGCCAGGGAGGAGTTGTGGAGGGGAAGAGGGTACAACTACAGCACTTATGCTGCAGGAAGATCAAGGAGGACGGGAAGCCCCGGGGTTATTCCGTCTTCTGAACAAGACCCTCCTGCAGGCACCACTCTGCAGATAACTCTGACACTCCTTGTTGATTTGCACACAGGTTGTTGGGAACTGGGGGCGCTGGGCTGTAAATTTCCCGTGATGTCCAGCACGTTTTATTTTACTTCAGACGGAATGTCCCATAGTCTGAGCAGTGCGGTGTCGCCTGAGGGCTAAGCTTTTGATGAGTTGCTGGTCCCATGTTCCGGATCTATGTGAACTTGGCAATGGGGACGCCTTCTTCACATTTCTCAATCCCTTAGCGTGAGGATAACCCAGGGACGTGATGTCCCAAGTGGTTAGGGAGGATATGGGAACTGAGGGAGGTGACAAAGGAGAGATCTCTACACAGGCAAAAGCTTCAGACCAGTTCCAGACCCCTGTTATCTTAAGGATTCTGCAAAACCATGCTCTTCCCTTTGAAATGTAATTAGGACGGGAACAAGGGGCAGGAGGCAGGCTGGAACAGAAACGCAGAGGGTGAAAGGCAGCAGTGTAAGGTGGTGGGAAGAGGACGGTCTTTAGTAATCTAACCAGAATGCCAGCCTGGTACCTCCTCCACTCAGTAAGAACACTGCTTTTTACTGAAACCTGTGTGCCAGTCACTGTCCCAAGCAATTCACCTGCCCAACAATTCAACTAATCTCACACCAGCCCCGTGAGATGTGTTATTGTCGCACTCCAAAAAACAAGGGGGGGAGTGTTAAATGCTTAAATCTGTGAAAAGTGAGTTATATTATTAACTTCAACTTTACCTAAATTATCACCCAGAATCCCCTCACAAGGTCAGAGCAACATCTCAAATTGATTATAAGCACACGTCAAAGTTTGACTTCAAAGGTGCTGGCAGGGAAGAGGTTCTTGGGCCAGTTCAAAGAGGCCACTTGCGTAGAGATGTTTTATGGAAAAGAGAATGGTTAGAGAATTGCTGGATTACAAAAGTCTCATTAAAGAATACTGGGCTAGTCAGCAGAGTGAGTGCCTGGCTTCCCAGAGTTTAGCATCTCGTTTTGTTCCAGCAGAACATTGCTCACGCGTTCCATCAGGGATGCGAGCTCCTTCCCCACGGTTAAGTCATGGTCCACCTGAACCAATGCGTGCCTCCTGGATTATGTGGTGGGGAGGGAGCCTGGTTTCAGAGAAGAGAGTAGGCCAAGAATATGAACTCAAGTCTCGGAGCTTGCAGAAGCCTCTCCTTTCTCTGTTCTCGGGGGTCTCCCGCTGGGGAGGTCACCTGGAGGGTATGGAAGAGGTGTTCTGAATGCTCTCAGAAGCAGTGGGATCTGGGCAGCAAGCCAGCAGGACCCAGGAGGGAGGAGAGGGGGGCTCTGCTGGAGGCCAGACTGTATCAACTGTCTTTTAACTGAACCAAACTGTAGGTACCTGTTCCCCTCATCTGTGATAAATGAATTCTTACTTTTTGTATTTAGGTAAAACCTCATAACAGTCACTGGCACACAGCTAGGCACTGCAAATTCAAGTGTGCTAATTAGTTAACTAGATTAAACAATAAACATTTTGCTAAAAGTTTCAGATGGGCCTCATGAAGGACACACGCACACCACACCACACCTTCCTGAAGGGCAGTAAGATGTCATTTAGTTCTCTTTATTATCAAGAACCTAATGGTGCAGATAGATTTTCAACTGTGCCACGTTAAAAGCACTGCAATACAACCTGGCGCACTAGCAGAATGTTATAAATGGCAAATGCTGGCACCGAGTGTGGTCCTGTACGCATAATGACAAGGGTTTGTAACTGGTGATGGGAAAGAAGGACGGACGCTAACATTTACTCACAACCTACTGCTTGCCAGGAGTTAGTCCCAGGTTGTTCTCATTTAATGTTCAGATAGGCCATGAGGTGGCTGTTACTTTTCTTTCAGCAGATGAGGAAATGGGTGGGAAGACAGCAAGTAACTTGTTTAAGGTCAAAGAAGATACACAGATGGCCAACAGGCACATGAAAAGATGTTCAACATCACTAACTATTAGGGAAATGCAAATCAAAACTACGATGAGATATCACCTCACGCCCGTCAGAACGGCTATAATTAACAAGACAGGAAATAACCAGTGTTGGAGAGGATGTGGAGAAAGGGGAACCGTCATACATTGCTGGTGGGAGTGCAAACTGGTGCAGCCTCTATGGAAAACAGTATGGAGACTTCTCAAAAAACTAACAATAGAAATACCATATGATCCAGCTATCATGCTACTGGGTATTTATCCAAAGAACATGAAAACACGAATGCATAAAGATATTTGCACCCTTATGTTCATTGCAGCATTATTCACAATAGCCAAGACTTAGAAACAACCTACGTGCCCATCAATAGATGAATGCATACAGAAGATGTGGTGTGTATGTATATATACACACACAATAGAATACTACTCAGCCATAAAAAAGATGAAATCCAGCCATTTGCAACAACGTGGATGGATCTTGAGGGTATTATGCTGTGAAGTCAGATGGAGACAGTCAAATATTGTATGATTTTACTCAGAAGATAAAAACAATAACAACACAGACACAGAGATTAGATTGGTGGTTACCAGAGGGGCAGGGGGAGGGGCAGAAAGGGGTGACAGGGCACATGTGTACAGTGATGGATGGTAATTAACCTTTGGGTGGTGAATATGATGTAGTCTACACAGAAATCAAAATATACTGATGTACACACGAAATCTCTATAATGTTATAAACCAATGTCACCTCAATAAGTAATTAAATAACCAAACAATTACTGAGTAGCCTCATTGGGGTTCACAACCCGACTGCATGAAGAGAGTGTCCAACTCCAGAGCTCCCGCTCTTTCCACTACAGCACACAGGGACACACCTATTCCAGACAGAACAAGCAAAAAGAGGCAGAGCAACGCTTAAAAAACATCTAAGCAGTTGTCGCAATAATGTTAATTGTTGTGTAGTGTTTCCTAGCTATCTGTCTGATCTGCAACGCTAGGGGAGCTATTGTCAAGGCAGAGCTATTGCAGCAACCTCAAGGGAGGAATAAAGTAAATGAAGAAAATCAATATAAAAAATCTCAGCTCAAGAGGCAATTCTGAAGCTGACAAGATTTATTAAAGGCCTTCTCTTTATAACATTTATTAGTGTGCATAATTTTAATAATGTTTTTCACCATTCATTCAAATACCACATAACGATTTACTTAAGAATATAAATACATGTATACAAAATTTTACAAAGACGCGAAAAGGTTTGTGACCAATGGAGCCATGAGTTTAGAAGCAGAAAGAAGACTCAACACTGAACATGAAGAGGAGACCTATTGGACTGAGCCCTTAGGAAGCCCTGCGAGGGGCTACGGCCTTCAGGAAAAGTCCTCATCTGTCCCTCTACACTTCGCAGAACCTGACAGCAGAAGCTCCACCAGGTGGAGCACTGACTATTAAAACTGCATATAAAACTTCAGAGAGAACACAAGCTCAAATGCCAAAAGAACATGAAAGCGAGCGTGTTGCACCTCACACGTTAAAGCCCCTGAAAATGCACACACGGTTCACTAACAGTGTTCACAATGCAAGGACCAGCATTTATTCAGCATCTCTTCCTCACAGGGAAATCACCACGTGTATTCAAGGACTGCGGGCACTCGCTTCCAGCCACGCCGAATATGTGAGTGCTGTCTGCGGGCGCACAGGGCAAACGAAAGGATCGGGTTCTTAAAAGAATGATTCTCCAGAATCTGCTCTACATCACCCAGGCAGCATCGCCAAGTACCTGTACAAACCACACACACACTTGCGGTCAGAAACGGCCTTCACACCGGGTTCACACCCACTGCATCCTACTGGCTGCGCTGTCCTCTGAGCTCCCGGCTGGGGACGCGCTGTGGAGCACGTAGACACGCTTTGGCACACCTTTCTTCCTACACGAGTCAGGCCTGCTGCATTCCGAGTGTTCTTGTCCTTCTGCTCTAGTATTCTGATCACAAATTTCCCCGGGTTTCAACAAAGCAGGTCTTTCTTCAGATTCGAAACATGAGAGGAGGGACCTGGCTAGCAACTCCAGTTCCCTGTGGTCAGCCTGAGGGGCTCTCCTCGCAGGGCCGTCCACAGAAGCAGAGCGCAGACTGCAGTCATCACGAAAAGCCCTGGCCAGGCTGCAAAGACCTTCCACACCGTTCCTGAGGAGACGGACGTCACTGCGGCATCCTGTGCATAGAGGAGAGGAAAGTTCACACACCTCTTCATTCTCCATGAGGCGTTTATTACTGTCCTGCGACTCTGGATACCTCTTACCTCAGAGGGACCCTGTCAACCACCCCCAACAGCTGAAGACTATTCAGCTTCTCTGCTAAGGAAGCACCTGGTTTCCTAGGAGCTGATCATCTAGGCAGAGGTACTTACATACCTGAAGCGAGAATCCAATCACACAAGTTCCTATACTGGTAACCTCAGTGAGTGGCATTACTTAGGCCTTCGTTAATGATTAGACTAGAAATGAAAAGATGTCTGAGATTCCTTAAACTGTAACATTCTGATTACAAATTCCATTTGGAGTACATACCTCTCAGTGCAGAAATAATAATTTGAACAGTCTGCTCTAAGCAGTGTTTTAACTTCAAGAATTCTGGGACAAGATTAACCATCTTCTTCAAATCTTGGTATCTGGAATTTTCTTCTTGTACTTGAGTTCTGAAGGTTTTCTGTGTAAATAAAGTTAATATTTTTAAAAATACATAACAGGTTGGGGGCCGGCCCCGTGGCTTAGCGGTTAAGTGCAAGCACTCCACTACTGGCAGCCTGGGTTCAGATCCCGGGCGCGCACTGACGCTCCGCTTGTCCAGCCATGCTGAGGCAGCATCCCACATACAGCAACTAGAAGGATGTGCAACTACAACATACAACTATCTACTGAGGCTTTGGGGAGAAAAAAAAAAAAAATACATAACAGGCTACATAGCAGTAAGACTTAGTCAAAATGATTTTAATTGCCAGAATCTTATCTTAAGAAAGAGAATGAGTCTAATTTCCTCACCAGGGATTAACTCTATTTCTACAAGCAAGATTAAAATACAATATTAACAATTACTGTTTTCAAAGGAAATAGGAATTGTTAATTAATTTTATATCAAAGTCCAATCATCCTATTACATGAGAACGAAATAAAATAGTACCATTTATCATCCAATATCATAAAAGATAAATTTATTTAATCTTTAAGAGTTCAACATTATAGCTCCCATTTATTTTATTTAAATAAAAATTTTCAAGCCATAGAAATTTCTCTCCTTTTTAAGTCACTGATTATATACTTAGTTTATATTTTTCTATTTACCTGTAACATGAGAATAAAATACTTTGTCTAATTCACCTGTGTTTTAAAATCTTTGAGCATCTTGATTATTAAACACAATTTTTGAGCCTGTAATGACTATCCAAGCAAAAGCTGACAGTTACCAAACCAGGAGCAGTAAGAAACAGATAAAATACGTTAATATTAGTCCATTTCTATACACTATCTTACCCATCACTAAAACTAATAAGTTATGACTCCCATGAGGAAGCCGCTAGAGAGCTACTGTACACACTTCAACTAAACAAACACAGCGGAGTTATCCGCTAAGGGTAAAAACTGAAATAAAAATATCTGTACTGGAAGCAAATGAAACAATAAAATACACTCAACAAAATCAAACAGAAAAACAAGTTAAAGCTTCTCTTACTGTTCTCCATTCAGCAAAGAGGTTTTCAAGAGACCCAATCAATCCCGCGGCGTTAGCTCTCATCTGGTCGGTGGCCTACAGAGAATGTTCAAATGTTTTATTATACAAGTAGTTATCTACAAGAATCCTAGAACTCTGTGGGACCAGACAGGGAAGAGAGTTCTAATCTAGATGTCAGATGACTGGAATTCGATTACTGGGACTGCAATTAAAAAGCTCGAGAGGGGCCGGCCCCGTGGCCCAGCGGTTAAGTGCGCACGCTCCGCTACTGGCGGCCTGGGGTTCAGATCCCAGGCGCGCACCAACGCACCGCTTCTCCAGCCATGCTGAGGCCGCATCCCACGTACAGCAACTAGAAGGATGTGCAGCTATGACATACAACTGTCTACTGGGGCTTTAGGGGGAAAAAAAAGGAGGAGGATTGGCAATAGAAGTTAGCTCAGAGCCGGTCTTCCTCAGCAAATAGAGGAGGATTGGATTGGCATGGATGTTAGCTCAGGGCTGATCTCCCTCACAAAAAAAAGAAAAAAAGAAAAAAAAGCTCAAGAACCTAAATCACGTAAGTGGAATTTCTTTCGAAATAAATTGCACATTGATTTCTACATTAAATATGGATACCTTCTGATGTTTGTTATAACAATAGCATTTGTTTATATTTAAATGTTTATAGGAATGAAATTTCCAAAACTTCCCTTGGAGAGGGTGAGGTAACTAATCTATCAAGCAAATATTATGCTCTAAGAACTCTATATATGCATCTTCCCAGTTTCATTGAGATACAACTGATGTATAACATTGTGTTAGTCTAAGGTGTACAACATAATGATTTGATATACTCTGAAATGATCACTACGATAAGTGTAGTTAACATCATCTCACAGTTACAAAATTTTTTTTCTTGTGATGAGAACATTTAAGATCTACTCTTAGCAACTCTCAAATATATAATACAGTATTGTTAACTATAGTCACCACGCTGTACATTACATCCCCAGGATTTATTAACTTATAACTGGAAGTCTGTACCCCCTGACCCCCTTCACCCATTCCCCTCCACCCCCCAATCTGTTCTCTGTTTCCACGAGTTCGGTTTTTTAGATTCCACATAAGTGAGATCACACAGTATTTGTCTTTCTCAGTCCTACTTATCTGCTCACATATGCTTTATGATTTGACTCTCAATTACAGCCCTATGCAGCATATGCCACCGTCTTCCTTTAACAAATAAGGAAGCAGATCCGGGCGCCAGCACCTAAGACTCCCAGGTCTAAATCCTAAGCCTTTGTTTTTGTACTGCTCGATGCTGCCCCCTACGGGGCATTCTCTTATTTTCTGCCAGGGCATTCTGCTTAAGGACTGAACTGGCTTTACCCACAGGGCTCTTCCGCAAGTTGAACTCCAACTTTTTCCCCATGGAGTAAAGAAAAGAAAAAAGAACATCCAAATTCCTTTTCTTCCCCTGATTCCAGCTTTAAAATCATAACTCCAATGCCTTACTTTGATCCTATTTCTATTTCTTTGGTTATTCCCTTTTCCTTCTGTAGGCTCTCATGAGTGTTAACATAACAAGAATATGACAAGTCAAAACCCCACCATGAGTAACACAGTACAGCTAAGGCACATCGTAGAGAGAAACGAGAGGAAGTTGGGCAGAGGTCCGCATGAAGATGCAGATAATAGAAGTCTGTGCTGGACAGGCCTGACCCATTGCTGTTTATGTCCTCAGAACAACAGGAAAGCCACCATCTGACCCTGCTTTCTGCTTACTGAGCACATTCACATACACGATTTCATCTCCAGTTTTCATTAACTTATTCTATACCCTTTTGCACTTATTGCCACAGAAATTCTACTTTGCAGACAGTGATGAAGTGTTTTAGTGATAAATGGTGCTGCTGCCGGTTGAGGGGACACGAGCTCCACCAGTCCACCACGCCCTTTCCCCAAAGTGGCACTAGGAACCGAAGTCAGCCTCATGTCTGCTGGAACATGCTTAGACCCACAGATCTTGAGTTAGTGGCAACATGAACTCCTTTTGAATGCATTTTTATTTTAAAAACAAAACCAAACTACAAAGTGAGAGAGGCAGACGTACGTAGAGAACAAGACAGGAGCAAGCTGAGGGGCCTCAGACTTGCCAGGCACGAGGTTTAGCGTTTTCCTATACATCGTTCTATAGCTCATGATCCCCAGAAGAATTTTACGGTCCCCCTGACTTTTCAAATGGAGCACGTGAGGCTCAGGCAAGTGGCTCTGGCTACGCAGGAGGGAGGAGAGAACCTAACGTTCAGTGTCTCTCCCCAGAGATTGAGCAGAGAGAGGTCTACACAGCCCTGTCATCAGAGGAAGTGGATGCAGACCACTCCGGCTTACATGGAGAGTTTCCCCTCAGCCAAGGGAGCGAGAAGGACATTAATGCAAAGGTTTTCCCAAAAGGAAAGAAAAATCTAACTTACTCCATGCCTTCCTGGAAACAGCTACCCAGAGGGGTGGAAGCTAACAGGCCTCCACATGACCCACCTTCCTAGGTCAATAAGACAGATGTAAAGGAGTATTCATCCTAGTGGGGACAGTCTCAGAACCTAAACGTCCCCACGCAGCTCCATCCCACTGACTGGCTCCAGCAAGACAAAGGGAATGGCCAGGGACGGTTTTAACAACAAGTTGTTACAACAAGATTCTAGAAAAGTCTCTGCAATTCACTGTCGTAAGACTTGAACTTTTATCTTCCCAATCCCTACTTCACTAATAGTGACTCTCGACAAAGAACATTAGTGACCGATTTATGCAGCATGCTGAGCTACGGAGTCGAGCAAGGAGCACAGAAAACCTCAGCTCCGGCAACTGAGCAAGCTGCTCCAGCCCAGTGCAGCTCAGGGAACACCAGGAATTCCTGCCTCGCCAGGTGTGAGTTCACCTCTGTTATATGTAGAGCACCTGGTCCAGTACCTGTCACCAGGAGCTGATTCAGTAAGTAAACAGCTCAAACCTGTGACACAGGTATTAGTGTGACAGGTGCAGAAACACGGTCAGAGCACTGAGTGCCCTGACGAATGACTGCTGGAAAGTGAGAGGCAGGTCTGAACCTGGCGCTTCCCACCATCCGAACCCGGCGCTTCCTCATAGGCCACCTCTAGGACAGCGTGGGTTCATGCTTGTATGCTAGTCAGCTGATGAAGCAGGGAGGAGGCACATTCTAGGAAGACACTCAAATCTTCACTGGTTCTATATCTTGATATGAAATAACCGATGTGAACGCCCTTGGCAAAATAGTCCAAGGGATTGGATCAATAAATGGTAGTTTCCATTCTTTTTTTCGTGTGTGAGGAGGATCAGCCCTGAGCTAACATCTGCCAATCCTCCTCTTTTTGCTGGGGAAGACTGGTCCTGGGCTAACATCCATGCCCATCTGCCTCCACTTTATATGGGAGGCTGCCACAGCATGGCTTGACAAGCAGTACGACGGTGCGTGCCCAGGATCCGAACCGGCAGGGTGTGTGCCCGGGATCCGAACCGGCGAACCCTGGGCCGCCGCAGCGGAGTGCGCACACTTAACCGCTTGTGCCACCGGGCCAGCCCCAGTAGTTTCCATTCTTAAGTGGAAAAGCAGAGACCTAGACAAAGGTAAGGAAGAAGACGAGAGAGAGTGAACACTAGATGTCGCTGCCACACTCCATTCTGCTTGGGAGTCCATCCACAGACTGGATTCTCACTGACAAAAGCTACGCTATCTAGCAAAATATTAACAACAGAGGCGGTAGTGATGCAAGGGTAACTTGGGAAACATCACCATGATAAAAAGACACTGTCAGCCTTTTCAATAAAAAATAATTCAACACAAATTAAGATATGTAAATTCATAAAAATCTAATTCACTCAGTTAGAAAAAAATCAACTTTATAAACTATCTGGTACAATATAGAACATTCTTTTATTTATCTTACCTCATTTTGGGTACCCTGCCTTAAGACTTCGTGTTGAAGTTCTTTTGCTTTTTCTAGTCCAGAGTCTAATAGAATCTTCATTCCTAAGACCACACCATCACAAATAGCATCCATGAAATCCTCCTAGAAAACATTTTTAGGCATTAACTGGCAAACTCAAGTTTTAGATATATTTTAAGTTATCCAATAATTAAGTTATATTTTCTGCTTATTTTAAGCCTGTAATATATTCCAAGTTTATTAAGTTCAACTAAAGCTGGAATAGAAACTAACAGTCTATAAGGAAAGAAAGTGAGCAGATCTATAATCTAGTATTCCACATATAAGATGTTGTAAGGAATGTTTATCATCTCAGGCAGGAAACTGTGTGCCAGAACACGGCAACTTTCTAATATAATACTGTCTTCAATAGCATGAATAATTACAGCAAGCAAATACGAATTTTATAGAATTACAGAGTTCTTCATGTGTTGGTGGCTGAGCAAACCCTCCAGAGCAGATGGCTGTCACCAACCGAAGCTCCAAAAGGTGAGGTGAGGGTTCCAAAGGCATCAGGGACATTTAACCCACTTAGACTGAAGCAGTTCTAAATCTTATTGCTCAACTATTAAAGTATGTGCCATTTTGAAAAATAAAAACGTATGATGTTTGGTTGACACTATTATCAGAAGACTCTACTGTTCCCTCAGGTGAAGTCTCTCAGAACTAACACTGCTAACTTACCTGGACACTGGCGGCCTTACTGTAACTGTTTTCCAGAAAGTGTAGCTGGCTCCCCTTAAGAACCGCTAACTGTCCCACACACTTTACAGCTTGTTGTACGATCTGCATTACTTTCTCTTGAGCCTCTTTTACCATTGATGAAATATCTGAACAGCATCCCTATAAGATAAAAATGGACCAGTATATCATACATGAGATTACAAGGGGTAAAGACAGGAAAAACAGTCTGAAGAAAATGCCTTCTGCTTTCACTGATATAGCGACTATGCTTCATCAGTCTCAGTCAGAACCAGACAACAGGCGACCTACAGCTACTAACGGTAATAAAATCACTAAAACAGTTGCCACCCTCACAGGCCTCACAGACCACAGGAGACGTGAGGCAAGTACGCAGTTCACCAGACATAGACAAAAGTGACGCGTGAACACCAAAAGAACAGAACAGAACGCTGGCTCTTCTGCCTTTGAGCTTTTCCTGTCCCTATAACCACCTGACAGATGGTTAACAAAGATATTTTCTCTTATCAAGGGACAAGGAAAAGGAGAGGGAGAGGAGAGAGAAAGGAAAAGGGAAAAAAACAAAACCAAACCCCCTTCACACAAAAGGCCCCCGTGTACGCCAGAACGCACACCCGAGAGGAATGGGGTGTCTCTGGAGCTTCTCTTTCTTCTGTCTCCTGCCCGCTGTGGGGACTCTTCAGAACACTGCCCTTGGGCTGCTTTCTGGAATATGTTAATTGTATCGCTACACGAGAAGGATTCTCAAAGCATGCTTAAGTAGAAAGGATAGTCACTAAATCCAGTCTGCCGGCTTCACAGGGTCCCTCCCCAGCTCAGCCGGGCCTCCCGCCACGACACCCGCTCTCTCCGTGCTCGGTTCCTTACAGGAAACATTTCTCACAGAGCTACAGGTCACAACCCCTAAGGTAAGTTCAAAGCATTCTTCCTCAAGAATGAAGAGAAGGAAAGAAACTACATACCAGTTACTCAGTCGGTACCTCCTTACAACATCAACGGCCCTGACCCTCACAGCAACCCTGCCAGATAGGCACTGCCATTTTTATTTTCCAGGGGAGGGAATGGGAGACTCAAAACATTAAGCAGTTTGCCCAAGGACATACAACTAACTTAGCATGGATTCAAACACTGGATTTCCAAATGCCAATAGTGGGTTTTGGTTTTTGTTTCCTGTCCTACCTCTAAAATCTGAAAGTCAACTAAGCGCATCTCACTCTCTTGTTTCCACCACAAACCATCTCGCAACCAGCTTCCTTCTCTAGGCTGGAGCCTAGTCAGAAGCTCAGAGTGTGGCTCGCCAGCTCTGCTCTCTGGCCAGCTCTCCCTTTCGTCCTCATGGCTCTGTGCTGTCAGAGCATCCCCTCCATTCGTCACTTCATCCACCCCTGCTTTGCAGTCCACCCTCTGTCCTATAGTCACTCCATTTCCCTGTTTCCTATATCGAAAGTGGTCCTTCACCTAACGTGAATTTATAACTAACTCAACAAGTGCCCAACTGAGCATCCATCACATAATGAGTCCTTGTGAGAAAAGACACTCACATTCCCTCCACCTGCCACTGAAGTGCGCAGGCTTGTAAATAATATGGTATATTAAGAGGCATAATGTGGGGGCCAGCCTGGTGGCATAGCTGTTAAGTTCGCATGTTCTGCTTTGGCGGCCCAGGGTTCGCAGGTTCGGATCCCAGGCACGGACATACATACCGCTTATCAAGCCATGCTATGGTGGTGTCCCATACAAAGTAGAGGAAGGTGGGCAGGGATGTTAGCCCAGGGCCAGTCTTCCTCAGCAAAAAAAGAGGAGGATTGGCAACAGATGTGAGCTCAGGGCTGATCTTCCTCAAAAATAAATAAGTAAATAAATAAATAAAAGGCATAATGTGAAGCAGAGGGTTCTCAGAGAAGCAATAAGAGAAATGCCTGGGCCGCCCCCGTGGCTTAGCAGTTAAGTGCACACGCTCTGCTACTGGTGGCCTGGGTTCGGATCCCGGGCGCGCACCGACGCACCGCTTCTCCGGCCATGCTGAGGCCATGTCCCACATACAGCAACTAGAAGGATGTGCAGCTATGACATACAACTATCTACTGGGGCTTAGTGGAAGAAAAGGGAGGAGGATTGGCAATAGATGTTAGCTCAGAGCCCGTCTTCCTCAGCAAAAAGAGGAGGATTAGCATGGATGTTAGCTCAGGGCTGATCTTCCTCCCAAAAAAAAAAAAACACACACACAAGCGAGAAATGCCTAACCGAGTCTTGGGGAGACCCAGGAAGACCTCCAGGGGAGAGTAACGAGCAATTAAAACTAAACATCTGATTTCAATTTGACCAGTTAGATCAGATGATCAAATAAAGGTTTCCAAATTCCAGCAAGTAAATAGCCCACTCAGAAAGCATTTGATACAACTAAGCTTCTGCGACAATAACAGAATGTGGAAAGTCTTCTGGTGGGCACTGTAGCACAAGATTTGTCCACATATTCTAGAACATTTTGTTATGAAACCAAATTATCCATTTTTAAAAGTGAAACCTATCCCTTTTGGTATTTTCACATCTGCTCCCCTGGTGTATTCAAGGATTCTTATGGAGGAGTTTGCTGAGATGGCGGACAACTGGGTATTCTCCAAGATCAATGCCCCCCCTCTTCCACAGGAAAGAACCCCTGATTGTTCGGTTGGCACACAGCTGTCCAGAATAAAACATACATTTCCCAATGATACTTGTGGCTAGATGTGCTCATGTGATGAAGTTCTGGCCAAAGATATAAAAACAGAAATGTCATATGGTAATTTCCAGAAACTTCCCTTAAAGGAAGGCCCGCTTGGCCCTTTCCTTCTTTGTCACTCCTTCCATCTGTGCATTGAACTCTGCCTCCCTGGTGGAGCATGAAATCAAGGGCCACGCTTTAGGCAGAGCAGATGGGTGCCCCGGAGGGAGCCCAGATCCCAAGGACTTTGTGGAGAACAGCCACCATGCCCACCTCCAGATTTCATGTGAGAGAAAGGAAGCTTCCATCTTACTTCTTCCTTACAGCCAAACTTTACCTTATCTGATGCACGGCAAACAGGAAAACAAAATTACTTTTCTGGCCTCGATAGCAGCAGGCTTGTGACTAACTCACCACCAGCTGAAACCCAACCCATAACCAGAGCAAGACTCTGCCTCTCTTCCCGATAGCCCACCCTGAGGGTCAGCATGGTATATGGGTAATGGGCATGAACTCTGGGCCCGAGACTGCCTGGGTTCAAATCCACGACTTACTAGTTATGTAACACTGGGCTACTTACCCTCCCTGTGCCTCCTCTTCCTCATTTATAAAATGGTGACAATAACAGTACCCACTTCTGGGGTTGCTGTGAGGATTAACTGAGTGAATATTTCTAAGTCACTTAGAACTAGTGCCTGGCGCACAAACAGCCATGTAAGTCTTGGTTCAATAAATCAAGTATAGACATCCATAGTCTCAGGATTTCAAGAGAAATCACTTCTCAAAATCCTACAGATCTAATTTTGGGGAAGATGAGGACAGTAGAAAGTCAATAAATCCTTACTGAACAGCCGAATTCTTCAAATGATAATTAGCAAGTCAACCTACCTGCAAAAATAACTGTAAGTAGCCTCCGAGTTTTTTGACTTCTTGTCTCAATTCATCGCCAAGTCTGGCTGTGCTGGCACCGGGCACAAAATCACTCAGCCAGTGTGTCGTCAGCACCACAAGCTGCTCAAATGCACCTGCTACCTGGATAGTGAGTGACTGGGTGGCTCGATCTGAAGAGAACACTTGAAAGAAGAAAAATTATCAGAAGAAATACTCTCCAAATCAAACACTCACGTATGACCACCACTAAAACATTTTAACATCGTCAGAAAATGCACGCTAGATGTGAGGAACAGGCATTCAAAACAAAGTGTAACGTGCAGAAAACAATCATTCGTGCGAGTTCACACAGCAGGGAGGTTGCTTACAGTTATACTGACTTTCTTCATCTTGTTCTTCATATGCTTTGGAAATGGCAAATAGCCCGTTATAAATTTTAAGAAAATTATTAAGCAGGCTGTCTGCCATAGTCTGTTCTTCATCATAACTCTGTCCAAGAAAATCTAATGATGAACCAATCAATTCTTTGCAAATTCCAGGAAGAAAGGATTCTGCTGAATTTGAGTAAATGGTGCTTGATTTCTCCAGTAAGCCTGTATCAACAGAAAATAGCCATCTTAAGCCTAGTTTTCAGGCACAATACTTTCAAACAAATGCATTAACGCAAGCAATTATAGAATCATTGGTCAATAAACTCAAAGTAGGTTACTCTTCCTTCAACACATCCTTGCTTCTATACACCAAAGTGAAAACACAATCCCATAAAGGAACCAATTAACCTCTCAACTGCATTGATCCATAGGTTAGCAGTTCCTCCACCGCAAATCAGTACAGAGAATCCAAATGTCCATGTAACCACTGGTTTAATCTCCTCCTTTATTTACTTTTTGGTAACACCTAAGGAACACTGAATTAGTGAAAATAGCAGTTACATAAAATAAAATAATATAACCATAATACAAATAAATTTAGTTCATAAGCTGGAAAAGTGGGCAATACTAGAGGAAACTATGGTAAAAGGAATGTCTCAGTGGCCCTACTTTAAAATAGCTCCTTTTCTAGGTTCGCTATCATCACGACAGGCTGAAGCAAACCGACCACCAACGGTTACTATGGCACACCTCTGGGAGACAGACTTGCAGCATGATGTTCTAAGCACCATCCAAACCAGAAGTAAATGGAAAAGCTTGAAAGAGCTCATTGGGAGCCTCTGGAAATAACTTTTTCCTGGAATGCAACACGTGGGTACAATGATCTTCATTTAATACACAAGATGAATTTTCTGCTCTGGGCCATAGGCAATCAGGAATGGCAAACCACAAGGCAAGATGAAACAAAGGCACAGGGTGGGGACTATCAAGCATCTAGAACAAAGATAAGAGCCTGATTCGGGAAGAGAAAAAAGAAAAGCTGCCAAACTCAGAGCTGTATCAGCACAGGGTCATGACGAATCACTATCGTGATGATGCTGGTGACCACGCTCCAGTCATCATGAAGAGTTAACGGTACATCCTCTGCTCAGGAAGGTAACTGTACCAATTCACTCTCAACTCCAGCACCAACACTGCAGAAAGACTGGCAAAATCCAGTTTACAAGTATGGCCCTTAAGGTGAGACAATAAGACACTTGCTGGACCTCCCACGGCTAGAAAGTGCACCCTCCACGCCCAGCAGGCCTGGATTCCTTCCAGCACCTCACAGCTGCCCAGGCAGGGTCCCACTAAATGCACAGCTGGGTGTCCATTTCCCTCTCCAAAACTGTACACAAGCAAGGACCTCTCATATTTCTGACTTCCTCTTAATATTCTAATTTTTAAAAAGGGCTCTTAGGGCTGGCCTGGTGGTATAGTGGTTAAGTTAGCGCACTCCACTTCAGTAGCCCAGGGTTCGAAGGTTCAGATCCCAGGCGTGGACCTACACACCGTTTATCAAGCCATGCTGTGGCGGCGTCCCATATAAAGTAGAGGAAGATGGGCACAGATGTTAGCTCAGAGCCCATCTTCCTCAGCAAAAAGAGGAGGATTGGTAACAGATGTTAGCTCAGGGCTAATGTTCCTCACAAAAAAAAAAAAACAGCTCTTAAAAAATGGCCCTTGAAGACAAAAGTTTAGTTACCTGGAAAAAGTACTTTTATAAGACATCTTACTCTCCATAATACTGAACGAATAAGCTGCTACCATAGGTATATAACCTTTCACTTTGCTGGTAAACAAAAAGCCTCTAGCATATTTTGTTCTACTTTAAACAAGTAGTAAGATAATTATCTTCCTAAAAGATAATTTTATGACTTAAAAAAAAAGAAACCCTAATGTCTTTATTTTAAAGTCAAGATGAGATATAATTTCTTTTATGGCTACTCATATTCCATTAATACCTTTATCAAATAGATTATTACATTACATAGTAATTTCAAAACTTTTTGCTACTAAGGTATCATTTATACTCTATAAACTGTGCCTATCTTAAGCGTACAGCTTCTTGCTTTTACCTGTGTGTACACACACCAGGGTAACCCCACTTAGACCACGGGTACAACATTGCCATCATCCCACCCCAACAGCATCCCTCCTCACCCACTATTCTGTTCTGAACAACTCTGGCTTCTGTCGCCATGGACGAGTTTTGCCTGTTCTTAAACTTCACATACATAGAATCATACAGTATGTACTCTTTATTATCTGGTCTCTTTCATTCAACATAATGTTTTTGGGGTTCACCCAGGTTGCTCTATGAATCAGTGGTTCCTTCTTTTTTATTGCTGTCTAGTAGTCCATTGCCATCAGGTAGTAATTTTAATTATTACAAGTAGTTACACATACAAATTTACAATGTATCCCCCCTTCTATATGAAAATTAACATTATAATCAATATTGAAATAAAATAATTTATTCAATGGAATAATTCCTGTAACTTTCTCTTTTAAACATTTTTTTAATTAACTTTGTAATAGATGATACATGCGTATCATACAAAATTCAGAGGGAACTAAAGGGTAGGCAATGAACAGGAAGTCTTCCTTCCTGCCCTGTCCTGCCCCACCTCCCACAGACAACCAGCACCTTCAGGCCATGGTGCAGTTCTCCAGAAATATCTTATTCATTTACAAGCATATATGTATGCATCTTTTTTTCTGCTCCTCACACAAATGACATTCTATAACACACAATCTTCTACACTTTGCTTTTTTCACCTACAAGAAAATAACATTTTTACACATTTCTGAACACACACGTCTCCCACATTTGAATTAGCCATTCTACTAAACGCTGTGAAATAAATCACAGCACAGGATTTTAGGAGTGGGAGGGGCCGTCCAGTCCACTCTCCCATTTTACAGAGGAAACGGAAGCTTCCAGGAGATGAAATGATTTGCACAAGAACATGAAACAAAGCAGTGGTGGAGCCAGGACTTGATGCTTTTCTCAGTTACAAGAAAATCTGATGGAAAAAATACCTGATGAATGTGAAGAATGCAAATTCTGAATTGAGTGGGCTTGTATGTCATGTAAACAACCAGAAATTCTTCTATTCTTCATCAAACTCCTGCTCCTGGAAAAAGATAAACCATAAGATTAGTAGCTATAGGGCCGGCCCTGTGGCTTGGTGGTTAAGTGTGCGCGCTGCGATGCTGGTGGCCCGGGTTCGGATCCCGGGTGCGCATCGAGGCACCGCTTCTCCGTTCATCCTGAGGCCGAGTCCCACATACAGCAACTAGAAGGATGTGCAGCTACGACATACAACTATCCACTGGGGCTTT